TGCTCTCGCTGAGGCGCCGGCTCATTTCTGCTCCCGAATCGTTCCGAATCGTGCTCCCGCTGCAGCGTGGGCCTCATTTTCGGATCGGTGTTTGGCCTCCGTCGTTGAGGATGGCGTTCTCGCCCCAGCGCGGGCCTCTTTCTCGCGCGCCCATCCGCCCGCCACCACCGCGCCGCCGCACCACCACCACCACCACCACCACCACCACCACCACCACCACCACCACCACCACCACCACCACCACCACCACCACCACCACCACCACCACCACCACCACCACCACCACCACAACCACGCACACACGCACGCACGCACGCATGCGCACCACCACCCACTACGCACGCGCGCGCGGAGCCACAGGTCCGCTACGACACGCGTCCGCGGATAGAGAAAATCAGCGCCACGGTAAGGGATGGGAGGGAGGGGTAGGACGTCTGATATGACGCGAGCGCACCTAGCTTGGCCTCCTCCTCCTCCGCATCCTTCCTACCCCTCCTCTCATCCTCTCCTCCCTCCTCCTCCTCCTCCTCCTTTGCTTCCTCCCTCCTCCCTCCTCCTACTCCTCCTCCTCCTCCTCCATCCTCCTCCTCCTCCTCCTCCCTCCTCTCTCCTCCTCCTCCTCCTCCTCCTCCTCCTCCTCCCTCCGCCCTCCTCCTCTCTCCTCCTCCTCCCTCCTCCCTCCTCCCTCCTCCTCCTCCGAGCGCCTGCCCTCTGCCGCGGGCCGCGAGGCCCACGTCGCCAGCTCGGCGAGCAGGGCCTCGTGGTACTTGGGGATGGCGCTGGTGAAGATGGCGTACCTGCCGTCGGCCTCGAAAGCACCCCCCTTGGGCCTACTTACCAGCCTGGAACACATCCTTACAGTCAAAAAATCGAATAAGGACACGCGACTTTGCTCAGGGTACCCTTGCGTCCTTGCTCTTCCTTGCTCTTGCGTCCTTGAGGTTTTCGTCGTCCGCCGCCCCAGAAATCCCAACTTCGGTTTCCAAGGGTGTTGCGTCCTTACCGCGCGTCCTTATTAGGGTTTTGACTGTATCCCTGTGTCGGGCATCGCCTCATCACGATGGCGACCTCAGGGATTTCCTCAGTTTCTGAGGGTGCGTCCCTAAGAATGTCGTCTCCTTTTAGCGTGTCAAGCTTAGTTAGGGATGGGGATCAGTTCGAGGCTGGTGACCTACAGCTTGGCGGCGGGCAGAGGGGGTTTTAGGGGGAGATGGGGGGAAGGCTCCTCAGAAGCGGACTGCTCCTTAGACGGCGCCGGCCTTGCATCCTACAGACAAGGCCCGCTCCTTCTAAGAAGCAAGGGTGTTGCTAAGAAGCCCTCCCCCCTCCTCCTCCTCCTCCTCCTCCTTCTTCTCCTCCTCCTCATCCTCCTCCTCCTCCCCCTCCTCCCCCTCATCCTCCTCCTCCTCCTCCTCCTCCTTCCTCCTCCTCCTCCTCCTCCCTCCTCCTCCCCTCCTCGGTCCTCCTCCTCCTCCCTTTCTCCTCTTTCTCCTCCTACTCCTTTTCCCTCCTTCCTCTCCTCCTCCTCTCCTCCTCCTCCTCCTCCTCCTCCTCCTCCTCCTCCTCCTCCTCCTCCCCCCACCCCCCCCTCTGCGCGCGGCCGAAGAGCGGAGGCCAGGCCACGAATCCGGCATCCGTGAGTAAGGCGGGTGGGTGGGGTTGGTGGACGACCTTGAGAAGTGCGCAGTGGCGTCTTACAGACCACGTGTTTTTGAGCTTGCCTGAGCGAGTGTAGAATGGACGTTTTGGGTGTGGTCGTGTTGCGTATGGTCGAGCGGTGGCGTCTTAGAAATGATCAGAGGGATGCCAATGTCCGACACTGGACCCATTGTTATTCTTCACGCGTCGCGTATCCCCACCAGCCTACGCACACCAGTGGTCTGCCTCTTACTGGATGGTGCTCGGACGCGGATCAACCACACCTCAGCTTCAGTGAGCCTTGGTGAGTCGGGTCACCCTCGCCGCATCATCGTATGCTCGTGGAGGCGCAGTGAGTCTGAGTTAGTTGCTCTCGCTCGCGCTCACCCCCCTTTTTTCCGAGGCCTTGGACGGCCTGGGTCAGTGTGCACACACGTGGGCTCCGTCTGGTCATTGGCCGCTCGGACTCGCGTTCTGCCCGCGGCTTGTTACAGTGTCTTGCTGTCCGTCTTGGCCTCGCTTACGGTTGCGGTTCGGCTGGAGCTTGGCGCCGCAAGGGCGACTTCTCCTCCCGGTTCCTTTGCCGCCTCGTTGCCGCGCCTTTTGCTTCCCCACCAGCCGGGCTGACTGAGTCGAAAGTGAGCCTGGTAACTCAAATAGCATCCGATTCCATGATAGACATCGGATGGCAAATAGCGTCCATCGCTCTGCTGTGATAGTACAGTATGAGGGGTGGACGGATAAGATAGGATAAGATCGATGTAATGATCTTTCCAACACATAGCGAACACTCGCGGTGTCCGGGCAAATAGGGCGCGCGTGCCTTGGGCCAAAGGCAACGGCGCGCGCGAGCTATGCTCCCGATACTATAACATCTCCCAAAGACCTACCCTTAAAGTCGGGAGGGGAGGAGACGGAGAGCATAGTCGCACGCAAAGGTCGCGCGCACGACTGTTTGCAAAAAAAAAAAAAACAGTGCGTACAGTCTGGCCTAACACCAGACTGCAAGGCGAGTTTCCTCGCACAGTATTTCACGCAAATACAAGACAGCCCCTTCAAACAATGAAGGGCCATCGGCTCAGTTAGAGGTAAGCAAAACAGGCCATACCTCACCAAGCAAATGTGTATTAAGGCAAACAGCCTGAGTTGTACGAAGCCGGCTCGTTGCCAGGCGTGAAATATAAGGCTCGTTTCCGAGCAACTAGAGGGGCGCCTTTATAGTAGGCGCCCGTGCTGGCAAATTGGACCGCGAGGGCAACAAGGACAGACGAAAATTGATTAGACTTAGGTTTGTCTCTGTCCTCGGGACCCCGAGAGGGAACAAATTGCTTCACGTCATACTTAAATGACTGAGTGCCTGACATCACTTCCAGAAGCAGCTCCCGATCGATGCTTCCCTTTGTATGCCCATCTGCGGTCATATCCCTAGTATCACACCATTGCACATTATGTACTATACCTATATCCATGAGCTCACGTATCCAGCTGATATGTCCAAGCAGAGTCCGTTCTGTAGGTATTTTGAGATCCCTGCTTGATAAAGATTTGTAGACGGACTCGGCGTCTATGGTAAGAGAGACTTTGATAGCTAGGCCTCCAACTTCACGCATGTCTCGTAGTTGTCGTGGAGTCAAAGCTCCTGCCTTAAGCTCGTGGAGAGTAATGAGCGTAGGGTAACACTCATCAAGGTTATGTGCGGCTGCAAGTGCCTCCGCAGCATAACTGGACCTCACCTGTAATCGGTGTGATTTGCATAGTCCGTCACAGAGGTGAACGACGGACTTGCCTTGAGGCGAGTTTCCTCGCCGTAGTACGTTGGCCCCGCGTATGCCGTAGCCCTTGGTCTCGTCATCCTCCTCCCCGGTAAGCTTCCGATACCCCGAATCGCTATGGATGTCAACTTCATTCGTCGGCTTCATCCGAGGGAAGGTGATACGTTTCGGGCTGCTGATCAGCTTTCGCGTCACAGCATTCAAACGTCTGACTTGCAGATTGGTGGGCTCTTGAATTTTCTGAAGAGAGACCACGTATACCATGAGCCAGATTTGGGTAAGAAGGGCATAGGCGAGGGCTCCTCGCAGGCTGACGGACATGTCGGTAATGAGTTTCGTGGCTTTGGCATCGGCCGCCGCTCCTGTAAGTTCTGGGTGTGTGATAGGACGTAGTTGTTTGATATACTCGTCCTGGTCCATGATCACATCACCTTGATCATTCTTAGTGCAGCGAACGGCGCAGTTCGTATATGTGTGCTTGTTGAGCTTGCATTTGCCAAACACCTTTTCGACACGTTGCACGTAGTCGTCTATATTTTTCTCTAGACCTGTCATGTCAATATCATCGACATGCTTTGCCGTCAGAAGGTCTTGGCTGAATTCAAATTCAGGATCGTAGCTGGTCGGTGCAAGTCCTATAGCTCGTGTGGTGGTACGAAGTTTGAGAGAGAACGCTCTTGGGGCGTCCTTTGTACCCGTTCCTGGTTTGAGGCATCTAAGACAGTGTCGACTTTCGTCGTAGGATGAGAAGCCGGGTAATGTACGAAGTACCTGAGCACTTCCTGGTGGAAGAGTAAAGCAAACCATGCGAGTTTCCTCGCCGGTGGCATGGGCAAGTTCCTCATAGGTCAAACCCTTGAGGAACGCCTTATCGATATCCATGGATGCTAAGATCCACTCTGGATGGCATGCCGCTTCACTTGCCAGGAGTCGTTGGGACTGCCTTCGGGCGGTTCCCGAGAATGTTTCCACATCAAAAGCCTCAGTATCCATAAATCCACGAAGGACCCAGTCTAAGACGAATGGTTTTAACGTTCTCGGCACCCATCTTTACGAACTTCCACTTGTATACATACCTGGATGTCATGATGTTGGAAGCTTTGGATAAACCATACATCTCAAAGCATCGGTTATCAATCCAGATTTTGAGCTCAGTATACAAAGCTTCACTAACCTCCTTTGGATGTGCTGCCATGTCGGCTTTGGTCAGTAGATCATCTTCTTTGACAACCACAGCACGTTTAGCAGCAGAGGATACATATACTCTCATCGTTGCGACCATATCGGTATCGAGCTGTGCAAGTTGAGTCTGATCCAACACTATTTTTGACATTTCTGATGTAAAGCATAATTCAACGTAAGGACCATATTCGTCCCTGTCAAGAGAGTAGCGCTCGTCGGTTGTGGTTGAACAAAGAGAGACTAGACAGGACTCACGTGATTTCGGCTCGTCTCCGAGCATGTCTGATGATATAATATCATCTTCGTCCACAAATGCTGAAACCAAAACACATTGGTCGGGCAGCATAGTTGTTGGGACGCAATAAAGATAATCATCGGTAATCGTCGTAGGATGAAGGTCCATACGTAGCTCGTCGTACCACTCTTCCAGCATCATAGCTTCGATATTGTGTTCCTCATTTTCCTCATAGATTGTCGACAGACGGCCTTCACTCGGCGATGAAGCATCTGGTGTGTCTGGAGAAGGCCTGTTTCCAGGCGACTCGTGTTCTCCAGACGTGTTGCTTGAATGCTGATATTTAACCAAATCGTCGTGAAATCCTAAGGAAGGGACACGTGAAGTCAAGCATTGAATAAGTCTGGAGTGAGTGCTACCAGTGATCTGAGAAATGTTTAAGCCGGTGCCCACACATTCGTAATAGTGGAACGCCGGGCTGATGTCGTTGTCATAGTGGATCAGCGTAGACCCGGTGGCGTACTTTACTGCAGGTAGGCTTGACACACTCTTAGCCAATCGAACTGCTACTACATGTTCTACTCGGAAGTAATTTCGTACGAGATACTGTAGTGCTAAGTGTACGCGCGGGTGAAACTTGCTGTCGTCTGACAGATTAAGGTTTCCCTTGTAATCGGGGATATAACCGAAAACTTTGGCAGGTTTCCCTGCGCTGAGGTGTGCCACATAAGCAAGGACGGTTTGCATGGCCATATTATCCATGCCAAGTTCCCGTGTGAGGAGACATTCGATGTATAGTGTGTGACGAGCATCAGGATACATCACAATTACCTCACGAGATCCTGCCTTGACAACAATATGTCCTCTTTCAGGCACATTTCGGATCACCGGGAATGGGCCATTCCAGCCTCCATGGTCGTCCTTGGTGGCGGTAGGTCGGTGGTAATCGACCAAATCCCCTGATGAGTAGAGGCGAGCACCATCAGGAGTCGTCTTAGCCCTAAGAGCCCGATTTGTCTTGGCCACA